AACGCCCTCACGGCTGAAAGGGCGAGCATGTTTGGTGTGACGGGGATTCGAACCCGCGAAGCCTCAGATTGCGAGTCGAGCACCTTAACCACCTGGCCATTAGAAGTAGTAATTTTATAAAATAAGAACAGAAAACGTGAAATAATTTGTTATATTGATAAACGACAAGTACCATCCACACTTATTCTTGTACTTATGAAGAAAATGTCGATCATTTTGGATTCGGAGTGGATACCTATTTTTTCATTGCTCGACTATGATATGAAAAATAAAATTATTTTTACCTACTAACTCGTAATTCATACGCCTTTCCCCAAAAAAATAAGATATATTTCTAGCAAACGGTTGATGTTAACTAACTAGAAGCCAAGAAATATTGAAGTAAAACAACACTGGTAATTATATGCAGATTACATCTTAATTAGAATTCTAAAAATGTTTTATATAAATATGGTTTACGAGATTATGCATCAATTTCTACAAAGGTATTTTTATCTCCGCTTAATAATTAACAAAACATTAGTAAAAACCAAATTAACATGCAAATTAACAAATCTAATTTTGCTGGTAATTTCACCATTTAGCACTACCATATGTAAAACGTTTTTCAGAGATGAACTTTTAGTACGATGTTCTAAAAAGAGACCAACATGTACATAACAGATATCATACACAAGAAACTAAACAGTTTTAGGTTTAATCGCAATAGTTCGACCTATTACGTTATGTTTTATAAAAAATCTTTCTTTTTACAAACACTTATTACTGTTAAAATCAATACATTCATATTGGTACCCATTATATAAATATGTATTAGTTCTGACGTGATAGTAATTTTTCACAGTAGATATGTAAATTTGGAAAGGTAACAACCCGCTTGTACGGCATGTATTTGAGTGTAACAACCCAGTGCAAACTGACCTTTTTCAAATCATTGACACTAAAGGTGAAGAACGTGTGCTTAATCACAACCAACTTTTTGTTCCACTCTCTACTATTTACGGTGAAAATTAATTCTTTAAGCTGAAAGAAAATGTATTAATTAATTTTTTTTGGGGGGGGGGAGGGGGTAAGCTCAAATATCGTCACAATATATTTGGAAATACGAACTTGAACAATATGTATGCCACTCCTCTTACATCGTGGATTAAATAAAACATTGGAATTATTTCCAACGGATTCATTTCTTTTAAAAATGTTGTCCTGGTAAATACAGCCTTGTATCTTCACATAAAGGTTTTAGGCATCATGTAAGTTATTTTTTCCCACTGGAAATACTACAGATAAATAATTATTGTTCCTTTTTTTATAGAAATATTAAAATGTCTGTTATTAGTTACAAGTTGTAATGTGTGGAAAGCACACATGTTCACTATAGTTTGCACTGGCAGTTTCATCATTTAGTTCTGAGCAAGACAGCATGAAATAAATGTATGATATGAAAAACTTATCACTGCCAGTTTACCGTTTTTCTGGTCGGAAACCCATAAGAAGATATCTGGCAGGTTAAAAAACAAGACAACTGTCAGTCATGCGCACTGCAGCTGTACTCTAAATGTTCGCTGGTGGATTTCTTACCGTGACGAGAGAACTATAGTGAACTACCTGAAGCGAATACACACTTTATCGATTGCAGTTCTATATGTAACAGTCCGAAAAAAATTTCTTAAGGATAAAGTAAGCACTACTTAACTATATATTACATCCAAAACTCATACACATTTCTACATGTGGACACGAGTATTAAACATCATAATACCTGAACTCTTCTGTTTTTTTTCTCTTCTTTATTGTTTTCTATTAATCTCACTTTAATCACTTCAACAAAATTCATCAATTTTTCTCTAATAACATTTATGCATCTTAATATATTTAAACGTCTCATTCTTTGATATACCCTTGTATCATTTAAATATTCATAAGTTATCTGTTTATAGAATTGTTGGGTCAAAGTGACCCTTAGTTTATTTTTATCCGCTAATGCAGCTAAGATTGAAGAACAACACAGTTTTATTTTTAATAGTGAAAGCTTACCTATAGTTATATGTTTCTGGTACACTGGGTCATAGTTTTGCCATTCGAAGCGGCTGAATCTGTGTTTTTCATCATCACTTTTGTAATCCGTTGAATTTGGATTTCTAAAACAGTAGAATATTTTACAGGATTTATTTTATATCTTTATAAGAATCAGAATATAAGGTTACAAAATCTTTGGAAAGTATATTATTCTCAAAGATGTAGTAAAATGTATGGATAAAATATATATGTTTAAACAAATTATGGTCTTACGCCATCAGATGTCGCTGGCGTCGGATAAAGTTGCTTGTTTTATTTACAAGGGAAAAACTTCACAATCTCAAAGTAGTGAACAGTTAGACTTGCACAGAGTTAGATTTGTTTAAAAGGAGTAAATTTCAAATGCTGTTCGACTATTAATGCTAGTTCAAGCAAGAGCTGTTATGACACCAATTCAAGTCCGGGCTGTAAGTAACAATATCTAATTAAAAAAAAAACTGTTTGAGTGTATAACCAATTCATTAATAATTCACAAGCAACAGATGTCTAATGAAATAAAAAATATCCTTTAATCTAAAAGTATTCTCGATAAAATTAATCAGTAACGGATTTTCAAATAAGTATATCTTGTTTATTCTAATATTTTCTATTTGGAAATAACGTCTATAACCACTACGATTGCTTTTGAATTTAATACTATTTCAAGTAGATGTTTATATCTATTTAGGCTTTTAAGTTATATTATAGCAATAAAAACTGTATAAATAAGTGAATAAAGACTGACGTCAAAATAATTAGCTCAAGTAGCGAAAGTAAACCTTAAAGAAACTAAATCTTCGACTCCACGTTTCATACATGCTCTTATGTTTCACTTAAAATAGCTTGAACAGTATTTTTGCAGAATGAATCTTACGAAAACATAAGCAAATTTATAGAAACGAAAGAGGGCTTTTAAATGAAATTTCTGTATTATTACTACTATACGAAACTTGAGAGCCAGCAATCACTGAGGCAAGCAAAGCTTTCCAGAATATAAAGATAGACGGACGATTTCCTTAAAACCAGAAAGCCAAAAACTCAATAATTAATCACCAGAATATGTGAAAGTTTCAAAGCCGCCAGTATAAGACCTATCAACCACCTGTGGACTATAAAACTGACAACACTGGGTTTTATAGAGCTATTGCTGCAAAACTGTATTTACATAACACGTTTTCATGTTTATTTTATCATCATATAGATACAGGGCTAAATATGGTAGCTACATAAATGAAGCAAAAATACACGTTGAAATTGGTTCTGTGTATAATGTAGCGTTTTTTAAATCACATGTTACTGCTACTTTAGTGTGATCATTTGATAGATGTGAAGAACGAACGAATATAACGAAGTTTTTTGTTTCTTTTTAGAATTTTGAACTGATAGACTAGAGAAAAAGGCAGATAGTCAATTGTATCCTCCAGCTCTGTATGCCCTCTTGTTTGACCAATTAGTGTGATTTGACCATTATTATTATAACGCACAAACGGCCATAAGGTGCAAAGTGCATTTTTGTGCCAACGGACCACGAACCACGAACCTTTAATTTCACAGCCTGAATATGTTAACTACTAGGCTACGTCCGGCTCAATATAATGAAGATGAAAATTGCACTGACAATTCAGATCTCGGATTCATGTTTCGACAGTTATTCGTTAAAGTGTATTGTACTAAGATAATGAAGATGACATAGTTGAGAGAGGGTGTATTCTGAGAAAGCTCAGCGTAGGAACTAAATCTCGCATTCTCACAAAAATGAAAGAAAAACACAAAAGCAACAACAACACAGTAAAAACTGTTGTTTTTATATTTCTTTAAAAGCTAATGTAAGTATTATTATAACTGATGCATAGATACCAGGAAATGTCCTACTAACCGTCTATGTATCATCTTTTATCTATGCTTATGATATTTTAAGTATTTTGTATTTACCACTTAGATAAATCAATTATAATAACGATTTTAGCCTTAGTAAATCATTGAGCAAAGTGTCATAAAATAATGTCAAGGAAGAGAATAAACATGAATTATTACTTCATTTCACGGAAAAGGAAAAATAACTTAAAGTGTTTATTTAGTAGTAGGATATAGTTTAACTATACGTTACCCAGTCCTAGCGAAATTCGTCCAATGAGTGATAACTGATTCCGAGAGAATCTCCTCTGACCGTGTATAGTTAGGTTGAAAGTGTGCAAGAAAATCTACTAACGGGGCTCCAAAGACGTAAGAAAGGTCCTCACCATGTATACAGCCAAGCTTGGGCAGGTAGTCCCCCTCTTCTGATTGGTGGTTAAATACGTAGAAATAAGTGTTTTGGTGAACATGAGCCTGTAAGTTACCTAGTTTTACAAGTGGGGCCACAATCAGGCCGTCTCCAAGAGCATCGACTGTTTCCTCGAATAAGTTGACAGGATGTTGACTAGGGCGACTCCAGTCGGTGTATTCGTTGATAATGGTAAGGTAGATTTCTTGCTGGTGATAATTATACAAATTTCTGACTAGTGTTCTTAAAATCCGATTGCGTCGCTTTATGTCGATTCCATTTTTTTCTTCTCTTGCTGAAAACTGAAAATAAGATTCGGTCCGAGTGACACCAAACAGCAGGTCATAGTGGCGATTTATATTGGTGTTTTCCTCCATTTGATATTCCGGGTCGTACTGTAGAAAAATACCATCTATTGTTGGTCCAAATGTGGTCAGGTGATCTGGAACTTCTATGTTTACATCTAATATTTTTTGAAGAGAACGATGACGAAGACATTCAATTGTCGAGGTATCGATATTTGTTGGACATTTTAGTTTTATAGCCAACTTACGAGCATAGAATAGTGAATCCTTTGCAATAGCCCATGGACTGAATACCGAACCACTCTGTAAGATGACTCGATGAAAAAGGTCTGAAATGGACAAAAATATTAAAACTATATAATTATTTATTATTATTAATATTTTGTTCATTCCCTACTTTCAACTCTGTGACGGTTGCGTGGTCTTCAGAAACTCTGGTCATATTTCTAAAGTATTATAGCTTATAACTGTAGCAATTTGTTAAAAAATATTCTAAAATTTTTCAAAAACGTTCTTTATTAAAAAAAATGTGTTATCTTTCATATATTTTCAGCTTTTATTGTCGTTGTAGTTACGAGACTTTTTTCAGGGTTAAGAAAAGTTCAACATTTTTCAGGCAAGAGTATTTAATCAATCATGAAAAAAAAACATTTGAAAAATGTTCTATATAATTTACTGGTACCTTTAAGTTATTGTTTGCATTTGGAAAGTCCTTTTTTTGGGGGATTAAAAAAATTACCGAAGATCGTGGTTCGATTGAAGTATGAAACTTATACGTTCATATCTAATAACACACACACACACACACACTATGAACAGCTGAGAGCTCCGTATTAATGTTATATCAACTCTTATCAGACCACCGAGACTAATTATAGAGAGTTATCCAAAGGAGTTTTATATATATATATATTTACTTAGGGTATCAGACAGCATGGTGTAAGGGTTGTTTATAATGACACTTTTGTATACATTTATAGCCAACGGACGATTGAGACTGTTTAGTTTTCCAGCCAGTTTTAAAAATCATGTTTACTTCACCTTTTCTCTTATTATAACCATATGGAAATACAGTCTGATAAAGAATCTATTACATTGTATTCACCAGCAAATTTTTAGTTGAATTATTATTTTCTCTAGTACAGTTTTCCTTTGTTAATTTTATGAAAAGAGCTTAATTTGGTTTACGTAGGATCTGTTTATTCACATTACTTCTCCAAGATCTACACTTATTCGATCCATTGAAAGCCCATTCTTTCCTTGGGAGCTGGTTATGTATTGATAAGGATGATCTAAATTAACAAAATACCTTTTTATAAAATGCTTATACAAAGAGCTGTTGATCGAGCTGAGTATTTTCTTGAAATCGATGGTTAACAGTCTAATATGAACAGCTACGGTCAAAAACCAGCAAACGCCTTTGTCATTTTTTCCAATTAAAAACAACCATCTTCTCACATCATTATCAGAAGAAATATGCACATGATATGTGAGAACACTAAAATCATGAATACATTTCTTAACACTTCCTAATCTCTTCTTGACATAATCCTAGCTTTTAGGAATTTCTTGCTTATAGTATCCTATGACGATCGAATTTCAATATATCTTACTTTTTACGCCATGAAACATAACCGTGCTCCTATTTTATGAAGAAACCTCTAAAAAACGAAATGATTGAAAAAACATATAATGTATATTTTTATTTGTTAATAGAGGGGAAACAAAATAATTTACGGCAAGATTTATTGATATAAAAAATATTGTTTATTTTTTATTTTCTGCTGTTAGACTTTGAGAACAAAATATGAATATAACAGATGTTAGCTGTACAAAACTTTATATTTTATATGTAATCTCTTTCTCTCTATATATATATATTTAGCAGTGTAAGACTAGAGGGAAGGCAGCTAGTCATCACCACCCACCGCCAACTCTTGGGCTACTCTTTTACCAACGAATAGTGGGATTGACCGTCACATTATAACGCCCTGAAAGGGCGAGCATGTTTGATGTGACGGGGATTCGAACCCGCGACCCGCAGATTACAAGCCGAGCGCCCTACCTACCTGGCCATGCCAGGCCTGGTTTAACTTGTAAGGATGATAAGGTCAACAATTACATCTCATTCGCAAAAGTAAAAAAGTGCTCAGTTACTTGCATTGGACATCTAGAAAAATGGCATTAAAAGTTCTTAAAACGATGTATTAGATTGAAATTATTTTCAAAAAATTTCCTTGAACCAGTCTGTTCAGTTTTGAAATAGATAGCTATGAAAACATTACAATTCTCGACAATGAAATAAGAAATAAAAAACATGCAGTAATTAAGACTGTATATTTCTCAGGCCAGTATGATTTCAAGAAGTTTACTTTCATCATCAGTAATCAACTGTTTTCATGTAATTCCAATGTTTTGTTTTTAAAAATCCCAAAAAACACCGAGGACTTAAATCGGCAACAACACAGGTTGGGTTTTCCTTTTGCTGAGAGTAGTCGTTATACATAGTAACGCTACACAGAAAACTACCGACGTTTCTTGGATAATTTATTAGTTGCAATGCGCGGTTTGTTCGAAGAATAAGCCAAAGTCTCGCTTCGTAGAATACTGAGACACCATTAACGTCGGTACTTAGGATTTAAATTATGTTCCCGAGAAGGGCTTAAAGCGCCCTCTGTGATACTCGAACTCTAACAAGGATAAACTTTATTGAAAAGGTATCTTTGAATCTAATTTTATTATTTTATAAAATAATAAAAATCACAGTATTTTAAACAGAGTAATTTAGAATGTTTCCTAGAAAAATATGAATTAGTTTTATAAAGAACTAAGCTTATTTGTCGTTTCTCCAATGTGTTTGGTTTTTGTAGCCTATGCCGACAAAACACTTTTCTGTGTCTAAATAACGTTGAAGTAAAGCCATATAAAGCCTTCACTTGACAAACACAATTAATGAATAAGGATGAACTCGTTCTTTCTACACGATATTATTTATTTATTACCATAAAACTTATGCCTACAAAATTTTTATTTGAGTTATGTCCTAAAAAATGCCAATAAATTTACAATACTCCAAGAGAAAAGTGCATCTTGAACGATTACTAACTTTTTGATGAAAAGCTTCAACGAGTTGAGTAAATATGAGTTTACGGTAAAGTAGACGTCTACACAAAAAAACCTAACATAAAAACAATCATCCCGATTGTTAAAAAAAACCTCTCTAGCATGTCAGACAACAGTCATTGTGAAAGTAGAACAATGCATCTTGAGTTTTCTATCTCCTAAAAGTTAAAACTTTATCGACAGTCTACAAAAACTGCGTTGGTAAAACCAACGATAAACAACAAAACCATCCATAAGTCATTTGGTTTAATTCAATAGCATAAGACTTTAGGTTGAAACTACATATTCTGTTTCAGAAGTATTCTTAAATGAAATTGTGTAAATTTATGTTCATAATGATATATCAACAATTAGGCTAATTTCGACATCCGAAGAAATACTTTATTTTGCGTCCAAGTAAATACAAGTGCAAGGATATTTGCTTTAGGCCTATCTGTTTGATATTGGAACTAAAACAAAAAGTAACAAAATGCCAAAATGTTGCAACAAAAATACATTTATCTATTTTGCACGTCTTTTTTAGAAAACGATAGTAAATGCTATAAACATTGAACAAGAAACTATTGTGGATCTTAGAAAATAAGATACGAGAGTGAAGAAAAACAGTTTGATTGATATTCACACTTGAAACTGTTAGTTTGGTAGACTAAATCTGTAAATGTTGTGGTCCTAGTAGATTTATATCAGTATAAAAAAATGATACGTAAAGATAAACAGCTGAGACTGAAAATAAACGAAAACAAAAATATTTCCCAGCTGTGGTATCATGATGGAACGTTACGTTTCGGATTTTCTAACGAGATCATGTGTTATATAAACAATATTTGAATCACATTTAAAATACCAAAAGGCTCAATTAAACACTCCAAATCTAACTTGGCCTTTCATTGTGATATTAAAACTTTGATGTTGTCCCCTAGTGGCTCAACAGTAAGTCTGCAGGTTTAATGACGCTAAAATTCGGGTCTCGATACCCCTGGTTGGCAGAGCACAGACAGCCCATTTGTAGCATTAGGTTTAACAACAATCAGACTTTTATCTATTTTGCTGTTCATTTTGGCTATTTTCTAATTTTGCCATCTTTTAAACTATTTTTTTTTGTATTGATATCATATTTTTACTTAAGTGTAAACTTAATCAAAACACGACAGATCCTTATCTGTCTTCATAAGCTACCATATGCACGTACCTTCAGTTTTTGTCTGACTTGTGTAGTATTGAATGTAGGTGAGCTGTTATTTTATTTGATTAACTAAAACGTATCAGCCTGAAATAACAAAACCTAGACAGTTCTACGTTTCAAACCGCTAGATATCTAACGAAAACACCAGTTTCAATGTAACATACAGTTGTTACGTATTAGAATTTCCAATGGTCTGAAATTTAGTTAACTGATGAATTTAAATTTAGTCGTTAAATTGTACTTTGGATTTGGTAGTTAAATTAAAGCCAATATATAGTAAGTTTACGATATTTGCAAACAAGATTGATACACACAGTTTTTTTTTTAACACAAATACGTTTTAATATACACACAACAATACTATTTACAATAACAGTTATTACAAATAGTTATTACAAACAATGATTTATAAACAAAAGTTTCACAAACTTACAAGCAATATAAAGTCTTCCTTTTAGTCTGGAACTTCCTTGATATTTTATAGAAAGTTCACGATGAGCACATGAGCACGTTAATTACAAGTTGGCGAAGACACAATTCACTTAACAGGGAGCTAGATAGCCCTGTAGTCTTCACTGTTCATACGCCTGTTATAGATTGAGTTTCCACCGATGACTTTAGGTAATGTTTTGTAAAAGTATTAATGTCAGACGAGAATCCACTGAAGTTAAACGATTTGTAATGTTGGAATTTTGTAAAGGTTCTTGGTCAAATGTCTGAAGTTTTCCGATTGGTAAGCGTTATAACAATCACAGTTGTAGCTTCCGAAGTTTTATAGCAGATTGACTACAGTGAACTAATAATAGATAATCTCTTTTTGGCGCGCATCGCGTTGGTTATATTTATAGCGTGTGGAGGCGTTCTAAAAATTCCAGTTTTTACGTAGCAATACATATATATATACATATATTGTTGATTTTTACTCTCGAGAATCTTCTACAAATTTGGAGAATAGGCGGGAGTTTCGCAATACATATTTAACAGTATAAGCTATGTATATTTATAAATATAAATTTTATCTAA